GCAGCCCCCCCCCCCCCCCAGCAAGCCGGCAACCTTGAACGAGTGCTCAGACTTGCATAGCTTCCATTCCCTGCCAGTAGGTAATTCATGTACCTTCTCTGCCTCCTAGTTTATGCCATGGCTTGTCATGGAAGCTAGTCTTTAAATTGTGCCTTTTGTGCTCACATGTCTTCCGCAGTGGCCAAAAGGGCATTGCCATGACGTAGGAAGCATTGACCGTGGTCACCAATCCTACACTCTGTCCCTCTCATTTGAATGCCTTTGATGGTGTGTGGTCTCCTGGACACTTGGCTGTGCGTAGGGCCCCATGGCCAGTGCTAAGCAGGGAGCGGGGCTGCAGGGGCGCCCAGGGTTCCCCGAGCCCCAGGGCCCTGATGGGGAGCCGCGGAGCCCACCCCGGCCCCTCAGCATGTGGGCAGAGGGATGCCTCATGGCTGTTTCCATCTCCTCCGGATGGAGACGGGTGGGGTATGACAGTGCATTTCAGTCAGAAGTCGCCTCTGATTCCTTCTTGATGTTCGCCCACTCCTTCTCTGTGCTAAAGTGTCTGTTCTGTTGCAGCCGCACCTCTCCATGTCTCGACCGTGACAACAGCAGGTGACTGCATCGCCCCTCCTGCCCGCCCCTCCTCCCCCCTGCACCCCAGGGTGCTTCAGTGCGCACACCTCCCAGGGACGCAGGGCCGGCCGTGTCTCCAGGCCGCGCCCTGGCTGAGTGCCCCTTGCTCTGCAGTGGAGGGAGCGTGGGCATCAGTTACTTCATTGGAAAGCGGCTGGGATGGTGCCAGGATTCACGCAGACCTCCGGGGAAAGGCTTGGCCGAGGCTCCACATCTTAGCTCCTTTTGTGAGAGAAAGGGCTACATGAAGCTGAGAAGTTACTCCTAGAATTACACAAATCAGCTGGCCTGTTTTAAAGTCATAGTAAAGGTTATGATTTTAAGTGCCACGCAGCAGAGGTTTTTAAAACTGTTCTTAGGTGAACCGAAGGCTGAGAGTTGGTTAGTGGTCCATCTCCCTGGGATGCTGCTTTAAGTGCAGCTTCTGAGAGCTTGGAATCGTGCTGTCGAGTGAGTCGAGTCCGTGTTCCCAGACACCCCTGATCCTGTGTTAGTCCAACAGTTTATTCCTGAAGGTTCTTACCAGACTGCCGAGCAGGGCATTTTTGTTACAGTCATCGTCACGTGCAGACCGTGCACAGATAAGACGGCCTCATAGACCCCATTTTGAAAATCATAGCCATCCCTTTAGTTTCTCTGAAACACTAAATGGGACGTTTCTACACATGAACGTTGCGAGTGATTAATGACTGGTGATTCTGGTAAATCTGAGCCACTTTCTTCAGAGGACTTCCATCATGTTCAGTCTGGGAGTCGGGGCGCAGGAGGGCTTGGAGGGAGAGCAGGCGGGAGAGCTCGCCATGTCACCACGCCTCGTGTTCTCGCCAGCATCAGGTGGAATTGACGGGCCTCCTGCTGGGTGTGCGGGCTCACTGAAGCACCCTGATGACGTTTTCTTCCTGTTCTCACCCCATAACTAACCGAATGCGGCCCCTTCCTCCCCACCCGCCCTCGCGGTCCCGGGTGCATTGAACGGGAACCCAAGCCTTGGTTGGTGACTTTGGGGTGGAGGCGTGCTCCTCAGCAGGCAGAGCCCTGTTTTCTGTCTCTGAAGCATGTATCTGTTTAGCTAATCAAATCGCCTCTTTGTAGGCAAGTCATCTGCATAATAATGGTGGGTTGCTTTTGCTTTCCTCCCTTTTAAATTGTGATAACACTTATCTCACAATTTAGAAAACCTCTCAATAAGAGTTTCTGATTTGCATGATTGCTGAATTCCACCTAAAGTAAGATATGCGGTTTAAGCCGAGTATGTCACGTGATTTTTTTTGTCTGTAGAGCTTTAAAGTCAATGCTCAGTGCAGTGTGTGCACATTTTCTGCAAAACTGCTCGTTTACTGGGTTAACCACGGAGCAAGCATGATGCCTACTTCCCAGAGCGATAGCCGTTTACCCTCCAAGTAGGAATTCTTCCGGAGCATCTGAAAGAGGGCCTTTCGGGGGATCCTGCCTGGTTACAGTGACCGGCACACACAGAACACTGAGGCCCCTGTGGCGTGTTTGGTGAAAGTCTCATTTTATGGGCGAGGAAACAAACCTAAAGACAGGAAGTGACTTGCCTGGGGTCCCAGCAGGACGTCCCGGCCGGGGCTGATCAGTGGCTCCGAGAGCGACACAGGGCAGGGTGCCTGCTCTGGGACAGTGTTTTATGTTTTATTTAAACAGGGGCGTTCATAAACTAGTAGAAACTTCATTGTCATATGAAACTGCTTCAGCCAAGTTCCGGGTTCACTGTGGGCATTCAGAACATGTCAGTTCCTCCATTTGTTTCTTAGGTGTTGTCTTGTACTGTAAATTTAAAGACACTCAGGATATATAGCATCGTGCAGGCGTAGGGGAAGGGAGGTGGCGGCACCAGCGTTCAGGCCTTCGTGTCTCTGCCCATGTGACTCAGTCCGCACTCCCCGTCGGCAGCCGCCAGCCCCTGGTTAACAGATGCGGCTCCCGCACGCCAGACCTGCACGTGCTCAGCTGTGCTCTCCCTGCGGCCGCGCCTCAGTCCTTCACGCGCTGTCTCCCAGTGGTCACCTCCTGACGATGGGAGGAAAGTGCACTTGCTTTACCAAGTCTAGTACCCATCACCGCACGGCCGTACCTGCTCCTTCCCTCTTCCTGCGGCACAAAAAGCAGCCTCTTCCAACCTGCTCTGTGGTTGAAATTGTTCTACACACAACATCCACTGATTCTATTCCCGGTCCAAGTAGGGACACCTTTTATAATGTGACATTTTTAAGGAAAATGCTTACCTGATGTTCGGTCAGGAACTGTGGGGGCTAAGTGATCAGCATGCTGACTTTTATCTAAAACTTTCCATCATCACCTAGTAGAACTTGAACTGTCTCGCTTATTCCCTCTCATTGGAAGACGGCTTTGCACTTACAAGTCTACACTCAGCTTTGTTATTAGCTGTTCATCCTGTCATCACGTTTCTCAAGACGGGTTTTTGCTCTCCTACAAGCTGAAACGCCTGTGTGCGGTCGCTTGAAGGAGTTGTGACTGGATGGTTGTCCAGAGACCAGAGAGTTAAACAGCTGCCTTTGCCGTCTTCTCTGGTGGTTAACACAACTGCGGCCGTCTCACAACTTGCTCTTTGCACTGCCCCACTCATTCGCTTGTTCAGCCGTTACCTGTCACCTCCACACACTGTGCTGGGACTGGGGACCCGGGCTGCTGCCACCACGGCCCTTGGTGGCCCCTTCCCCGTCACCAGGGAAGTCAGCGAAACCCTCCGGGGACACCGGGGGCAGTCGCCACGGCTCCGCTGTCCGTGTCCTCAGTTGCCAGCAGGGTGGCCGGCCCTCGGTGGGAGGGTGACACGTGGCAGGAGGGGAACATGGAGCTGGAAACGAGCAAACGAGAACAAGAGGGTTTCACAGGAGCAGCTGGTGACACAGAGACGGGATCTGATGTACTGAGACCCGGTTCCAGCCAGGAATGCAGCCCTTCATCCCCTGGGTAGAGAGTCCCCAGTAGGGGGCACGCCGCAGGGTCCGAGGTGCACAGGTGTGGAGGCAGCAAGCCATCCCCAATGGACAGGTCCAGACACAGCAGGTGCCCTAGCAGACACTGCCCAGGGCCTCCGACAGGCAGACAGTGCGGGGTCCCGCAGGGGCAGGCGGATGGGCCACAGGGTTCCTCGGGGGCCTGAGCCCCGTCTCCCTCAGGGTGACAGTAAGCAAGAGATGAGCAAACTAGGGGCCGCCAGAAACCGTGCAGTGAGTGGCAGCAGCGCTGGTTGGGACTTGAGTAGCCTTTCTCGGGTTCATAAACGTCAGCGTAAACGTAGCCCAATAAAAAGGACAGAACGGAAAGGAAGCCTTTAGGTTCACCAATGTTAACTAGCTCTTCCATTCTTTTGCGCAACAGTACATTTTTAAAAATATTTTTTGAGAATTTATACTTAAATTTATACCTAGTGGTAAGAAAAGCAGCTAACCTCTTCTCACTGCATTTTGATCAAGACCAGAAACATCCACATTCGGTCCTGCACTGTGGATTGTTCTCCCGGGCTGGCTGGCCACGCATGGGGCACGGCTGTGGCCTCGCTGTCCCTGCACGCCTGCTGACAGGCCCTGGGCTGCCCGTCCCTTCTGTGCTGAGAGCAGCAGGACTCCTGCTTAGCCACGTGCGCGACGAGCTCCGGTCTGCTGTGAGGGACGCTAAGCTCTTTCTCTGCTTGTCTAACAGAGCAGACGCACGGTGCTTCTGCCCATCATTTCTTGGATTGACTGTGTTCCAGGGTTTGAGCTGCAGTCATGGACTCGGTGCCAGGGCGGGGGTCCGGCATGGCTGAGCCTAACTCACCTGGAGGCTGCTTTCCTCTTCCTGTTTTGGTATCAGAGCCTCGCAGGTGCAATGGAAATGCCGGTCAGGTCGCCTAATTTCTGCCTCTTGACCAAGCGAGTCCCCACTGCATGCACCCGCCCCTCCCGAAGGAAGCCCTTCTGGTTAGACCAGCCCTTGCCTCACCACAGACGTGTGCCGGCCCCGTGGACCAGGCTGTCCATGAACCTCGAGCCTGGCAGGAATGGAGCAAAAGGAAGGGATGCCTCCACGTTGCTAAATTACTAGCTGTGGTTTTCCACACTCTCTTGTAATTTGGGGACATTCACGATGCCCAGACACCCTCCCTCCGCAGGGCCCGCCCGTCCACATGGAGCCTGTGCCCCGGTGGGGGGCCTCTTTTCTTAAGTCATAGTTTATATTGAAATGAGCTGGACACGATGTAACTTTGAAAAGTCCAGTGGAATTAACTGCTCCATCCCACCCTGACTTCCATGGGTTTTCAGGACATGCAGGAGGAAGTTCTGTGACAGGGGGACCCTCAGAGTTGTCACATAATTCCATGCCACTCTCTCTGTCAGTTGGATAGATTTTAAATTTACAGTCCACACACTGTCAACAAAAGGTAGCAGAAATTGTCTTAGGTTACAGATAAAAACAACACAAAAATTAAAGCAACACAACAGCCATCAAGGCATTGGTATAAAGCGAGATAACGTTTAAGGACCAGTTTGTCCCCACCATGCGTATGAACACCCGCTGTCTGAGAACCAAGCGTGACGGACAGAAATCACCTGGCCGGGACTTGGGCCCCTGCCTCCGACCTTGCCCACGCGCCTGACCTCTGCTCCCCCTTGCAGCTTCCTGGTCAGCTTCATGGTGGACGCCCGCGGGGGTGCCATGCGCGGCTGCAGACACCACGGGCTCCGCATCATCATCCCGCCGAGGAAGTGCACGGCCCCCACACGGGTCACCTGCCGCCTGGTGAAACGCCACCGCCTGGCGACCATGCCCCCGATGGTGGAGGGAGAAGGCCTGGCCAGCCGCCTGATCGAAGTCGGACCCTCTGGCGCGCAGTTCCTGGGGTAAGGGTCTCTGCTAAGCCTCCCACTTAGTCGCCCGTGCGCTGGCATCTCGCCCGGCGCCCCTGGGACGGATGCACAAAGGTACGTCCAGTGCTTTGAACGAAGGTTGACCCCTGTGACGTTTTTTTAAATCTGTTTTTATTGACTTCAGAGAGGAAGGGAGAGGGAGCGAGAGAGGGAAACATCAATGATGAGAGAGAATCATGGATCGGCTGCCTCCTGCACGCCCCACACTGGGGATGGAGCCCACAACCCAGACATGTGCCCTGACCGGGAATCAAACAGTGACCTCCTGGTTCCTAGGTCCACGCTCAACCACTGAGCCACACTGGCCGGGCTCCTGTGACATTTAAGTAGCACTGATGCTGCACCCCTCCCCACGCCTCTTCCTTTATGAGCATCCGTGAGCTCAGCAGGCAGGTGACCCTCTCTCTCTCTGGATGTGATCACAGCTGCTAGGCTCCCAGTGCGAATCATGTTTTCAGCCAATGGTAGGTATTGTTTTTCCCTCTGACACTGAAGTGGCAGAGTCCTAAGAAAAACCCTCCTCTCTTCCAAACATGGACTCGAGGTCCCGCGTCCTGAGAACCGTCTGCACTTGGGACAAGTGTGGCCAGGAGGCGGTGTGTGGTTTGCCTTCTCTGCTCCCAAACTGCTACCGTGAGGCTTACGCTCGCACTGGCCGCCTGTCTGGTCACAGTTTTCCTTAAGAAGGCAAAGTCCGGGCTCACTGCCGCCAGCCTCATTTCAGCAATTTTGAGCAGAAATTAGCATTTCTTCTTTCTTTTGTGTGCTTGAGCGGCTGCTACCATATTGAGTGGTATTTCAACAAGCCGAGAAATGCGTGGCTTCTGCTGAAAACCGACCGAAGGATGAGGTGGTGGAGGGGGACAAGTTTCAAAATGTTTTGAAACAAATCAGTGGTGTTTAAGCCTCCTCATAGCAAGTCTTTGTGCTTGAATGTGGGGCCCACAACCCGTTGCCCGGGAGCTTCTGTTCTGCTGGCGTCACACTGGGAGAGCTGCTCGCGCTAGAACTAGGGATCGGCCTAAAGTCTCGTAACTTGGAGGAAGCTGTTCACAGGTTGCTCCAAACTGTTCACGCCGGAGGGGGCGTGTCCGTATTCCCGGTTCTAGAAGCCGCCTTCCGCATCCCTCAGGCCGACCTGAGACCCAGGAGCCTGGGGGCTCTGGGTGGGGCACATCCCAACCCCTCCCCCCCTGTCGCAGGTCCCCCCCCTCCCTCACGCTCAGGCCGCCGGGCTGTGTGACAGTCTCCACGCCTGAGCAGGAATATCCGTGGAAGCACCGGCCTCTGCACAGTCCGAGCTTTCATGACATTCCAGCAGCCTGGGCAGCGTATTTCTCCTTCCACGGCTCTCGCCCTGGCAGGACCTCACCAGGGAGAGGCCGTCCCCGCGTGCCGCCCCTGCCTCCATTGGGCACGCTGGGCGTCGGTGCCTCCCTCCCTGTGGCCAGTGGAGGGGACAGAACCAAAGCAGACCTCCCGGTGGCCGAGCGGGCGGTGCGGGGGGGACGCCGCCCCTGAAGCTCACTGTCTTCTCTCTCTCACTGCTGCTTGGATGTGCTCAGTAAACTCCACCTGCCAGCGGCTCCCCCCCCACTTAACGAGGGAGAAAGCTTGGTCAGCCGCATCCTCCAGCTGGGGCCTCCTGGAACCAAGTTCCTTGGGTAGGAGCGACTTAAACCAACCGATGGCTGCTGGCCCCATTCTCCTCCTCCTGCAATATGATTTCTCTTTTGTCATTGTGCCCGTGACATGTCCCTCTCTATGATTTATACTCTGTACCAACTCTCTAGTGGACCATTTCTGACCCTGTGGTATGTGACTTTTGTTTCGAGTGATGTTTTTATACCTTTCTCCTTAAAGTGCTGTGACCTTCATTTTCGTTTAAAGCATGAGATCTGCCTAGTCGTACTCTGTGCTAGTCGCGGTGTTGTGATGGGAAACTTGGAGTCTGTCTCAAAGCAACCTGGACCGGAGACCCAGAGCCTCCGCGACTCTTGAGAGTGGCTGTGCCCTGGGAGCGAGGGCCGTGCATGCTCGGAGCTGAGCCCAGTAGGCATCGCCCATGCTGCCGGGGGCTCGGCCAGGGCCGCCCCGTGCGATGCCTACTGCGCCCTCGAATGGGGGGAGCCCCGGCAGGCCCCGCATGCATGTCCGCGTCGTCCCACGCAGTCGGCTCTGACATCTCCTGTAGACTCATCAGCTCACACAGCACCAAGCCCCCCCCTCCAGCCATTGTCACCTCGCACCTCGCTGAGAACGTCCCAGGAGGTCGGTGCACGTCATAGACATGCATGTCCGTTTCTTTACGTTTCTCCGAGGAGAAGTTCCAGGTGCCACCTGCACTCGGGAGACACCAGGCTCCAGGGAGCAGCGTGTCCCGGGACGGGAGCCCTGAGGTGGAGTGCTACTGCGCAGCCAGCCGCTAACCCTGTCCCTGTCCCCGTCCCCGTCCCCAGAGAGAGGCCTCCAGGTCACTTTGCAACAGACGGTCGGGGTGCGTGGTGCGTGGCTGCTGCCGCCCACACCGCGTGCTCTGCTTGCTGCCAGGCCCGTCATCGTGGAGATCCCGCACTTCGCTGCCCTGCGAGGGAAGGAGAGGGAGCTGGTGGTGCTGCGCAGCGAGAACGGGGACAGCTGGAAGGAGCACTGCTGCGAGCACACGGAGGACGAGCTCAACGAGATCCTCAACGGCATGGACGAGGGTGCGTGGCGCTTCCTGAGGACCCGGGGCTGCACGTGTGTGCGCACGTGTGCGCACATGTCTGCTTGAGTGTGTGCGCGCTGTGTGACGCGCGTGTGCGTGTGCGCAAGTGTCTGTGTGTGGTTCTGGCCCAGCAGGTACCGGTGTGGCCGGTGACGATGAGCCGGCGCACAGTGCGTTTGCCTGGTCTCCTGTTGTGACTCAGGAAAAGGAAACCCCAGTCCCAGTGACCCTGTTGGTCTAGATTTCCTCGGTTAAGCTGGTCTGGCTTTCCGTCCTGCCCTGCGGCTGTGCACTAAGTTTGTGAAAAGCCTGTGACCCCTCCTGCTGATGGTGGGGGACATGTTGGGCAAGTTCCTGGTTTCAGGGGAATTCAAACCCTGGATTCACGATCATCCATTGTGGCCCTTTTCCATACGCACAGTGCGTCTCAGAGACAGCCCCCCGCCCCTGGAGTGACCCCGCAAACCATCCTGGCAGGACAGAAGGGCGCGTCTCTTCTTACAACATAGAAACTGGGTCTTGAGCCAACGTTGATGTTGGCAGAGGAGAGCCTGCGGGACCCGTTTCCTCTGCAGCTGGTGGGAGTGGAGTAAACCAGGGAGAGCCCTGCCCACCCACCCC